TGTAACGCGTTACCGTTACTGCTGATAATAATTAGTATAAAAAGTTTGTTTTAAGGGGGGAAACACCCACAATTTTTTAACCCACTGAAATTTAAATAATTAAACAATGTTATATTTTTTTCTTGCATCATTTGGGTCCTAAAAACAAAGGATTGTCAAAAAAAAAGAAAAAATTTTTAATTTTTAATCATTTTAGAAATTAAAGTCTTAAAAAAATTAATATTTTAAATATCTATCTTCTTTCACAATTTTGACTATTTTCCATTGACAATTTTTTCCCACACTTTTTTAATGATACTTCAGAATCTCTTGCATGGATTTTCAAAAATATTAATTTTTTCAAAAAATCTAAAATGGTTAAAAATTAAAATTTTATTTTTTTTTTGACTACCTTAAATTTTTTTAGATTCCAAATAATGCAAGAAAATAAAATATAACCTCGTTTTAATAATTTAAATTTAAGTGGGTCAAAATTGGATGTGGAGCCTCTCCTTAATAAAAGAATATAAAATTTTTCCAAACTTCTGCATCGTTTAATGAAATTTCAGAAGTGTTATATTTACAATTAAAAAAATAATAAATTTCTTTTTGTACGACCACATATTAACAGTATGCAGGAATAATATTCTATTCCTTAAATATTTATGAAATAAAAAATATCCATAAATAATCACAGTAAAATAAGAAATTAATTTTCTCTAAAATGCATTATAATCGAAAATTTAAAAATACATTTTTCATTAATTTTTCTATTATATAATTTGGACAATTAAAGTTTTAATTGAATTAATTTATCAACGCGAATCTTAATCAATATTTAGAAAAACAAAATAATAAAAATTTAATTTCGTTTTAATTGATATGTAAAATTAAATTATTAGGTATGTATTACAAATTAATTCACATATCATTGAATAAAAAATTGCATCTATTATTAAATGAAATCTAATGTTGAAAGAAATATAAACTTAATTCAAAATTAAATTTCATGAAGATTTTGTTGAAATATTATAAATAATAATAATTGAATCAAACTCATAGAAATCGATTCAAAATCCAAACTTCATCGAACGATTATTCGAAATCGTATCAAACGACTCATAAATGCAGTACATCTTGTGACAGACTTATTTTTAATAAGTGTATGCCTGTAACAGTAAAAACTGACAACCGCCGATTAATCTCATTTCCTCATAAAACCAAACCACTTGGATTATACTCTGGATATTATCGTTGATGAAGTGAATCAAGAAAAAACTACAGATTGTAACATAAAAAAAAACTTTTAAATCGTTTTTTCCCAAAAAATTTAAATAAAAAAATCTTAAATAATTTATTTTTATCTCGTATTCGAAACAAAACTATTTGATTTTTTGGTTTGCATTTTTCCTAATTTCACAGAAAATTAAAAGGCACTAAAATAAGCTGCAACGCTTATTATTTTAATCCAATTTTGCTTATTTTAATACAAAAATGGATTAAAATAAGCAAAACTGGATTAAAATCATAAGCGTTGCAGCTTATTTTAATGCCTTTTAATTTTCTGTGTTCCTGTTATTAAATCAAAATAAAAATCATTGTACATTTTGTTTTATTAACAAAGACAGAACTACAATTATTCATTGGTTTTGTTTTAATGAAACATTACATTATTTTGATTTTGATTTCGACATTTAATAAAATAATAAAAAGAAATAAAATACTTGATAAACTGAAATAAGATAGGACTGGTTTTAGGAATAGTTTTAGAAGCAGAATCATGTAAAAAATTAGTTCTAATTTTAGTAAACTAGTTTTTAAAACGGTATTAAAACTATAATTGGAACAAATTTTAGGATTTGCTACACATTTTGGTTTAGAATTAGATTGAAGACTAAACTTTTAATCTTAACACAGAAAATTAAAGGGCATTAAAATAAGCTGCAACGCTTATTATTTTAATCCAATTTTGCTTATTTTAATACAAAAATGGATTAAAATAAGCAAAATTCGATTAAAATAAGAAGCGTTGCAGCTTATTTTTATGCCTTTTAATTTTCTGTGAAAACATATTTTTCAAGACATTTGAGAATTAAATATAATATAGGATACTATTAACTTTTATTTTAGGATACTACGGCACTTATTAGGTTTTAGAATTGAATTTAGGACATTGGTTATGGTTAAATATCAAGTCTATAATTTAGGACATGATTTAAAATCAGTTACGGAAGCATGAACAAATAACACATTTGTTCCAATTTTATAGGATTAGTATTTAGTTCTTTATTATGACTACGTTCACAAGATTGAGTTCTGTAAAATGTGGTGAATATTACAGATAAACTCTAGAAATGTTTAGTAGAATTAGAAAATTTTTTAGTAGAAATACTAAACACTTTTAGAGTTTATCCGTAACATTTACAACACTTTACAGAATTTAGTATTGAACCAAATCACGTCAACCGTATAAGTAAAAATTTTTTCGATTTTTGGAAAAATAAAAACAATTATGAAAATCTGTAGCTCACACAAAATCAAAAAAACACTTTCAACCGTTTATCAAAATTTAAAATTTTTATAACCTTTTTTTATAATAACAAATTTTGGCATCATTTTTTTTAACTTAATAACTCAAAATGTTTTGTGATAAAAATTATTGGCAACCATCGTTGTGGACAACGGCGCGGCGCTACTGTTGCTTGTAATTTGCGAATTGTATTGGGTTATATGCTTTCTAAATCTGAATTAGTAGAAACTACTGATTAGCAGTGAGAAGCTGACTTAATTCTCGTTACATCAATTAGTAAAAATTAACTAATTGACAATAAGAAATAACTGAATCATTAGTTAAATTCTACTAATTATCAGCAGAAAATGTTACTGAAAAAATAGTGAAACGATATCTCCTAACATTTCAGTTATTTACAAACATAACCTTGTAAGGAACAGGGTTCCTAAGTGTAATCGTCGCAGTGTCGGCAATGAGTAGGGATATTTCTGAAAATGGGAGAAATCATTTTCATGACGAGATTGATTGTCGCGTATGTCTTAAATTTAGTGGTCAAGGACCCTTTGCGTTCGAAGCATGCGAAAAGGGAATTGCCAGAAAACTAATTAATTTTATATTCGCTTAGCGGATCTGACGAATTCGCCGGACACAACGCCCGATTGGGGTAATTTCTAAAAAAACGAAATCCAAGATTTTATTGTAAGTCCGTGTGTTTGATATTATATTAATTTATTAAATTCATTAAAGCGGTTAGTGAATACGCACACATCACCTTGTGTTTCGTCGACGAAGCTTATCGTTTTCCTTTTTGTGGAGCGAAATACTCACCTTTTATGTGATAACGCATTTTATCGTTTCCCTGGCATTTTTGGGTGGCGATTAGGAGAAATACATAACATATAATATTTGGCATTGCTTTGGATTCATATTCGATACCGAATCTTGGAACTGGCCGTCCGAGAATTTCCGGAAGTTCGATATCTATTCGCCACGTGCAGCGGAAACTACCTGCGACACAATATTTTGAGACTTCTACTCATTTTGGTAGATATATATTAATTTTATTGACTATTGGTGAGTTCGCCTCTCAGATTTTATATTATTTTATTCTCGTCAGAATCCTTGACCACATATTTTTATTTAAATCAAATTTTATGTGTATATAGAAGCTATTAAATCGAATTTTCCACATTTATAATTTTAAATCAAAACAAATCGGAATAATAATTGTTACTGCGAGTATGAGTAATTCATGTGTGAGTGACTTTATTTTTATTGAATATGAATTTATAGTGTAAATTTTGTAAATTATTGCCAGACGAATTTTATTAATAAAAAGTGTAAAATAAATAAATACTCATACCGAAATTTATATTTTCTTTATAATCTTGCAAATTATTTTCTTTAATATTTGTTACAACCTCAAATTATTTAACTGTCAATTAGTTATTTTAACTGATATTTTAGTAGAGTTTAATTATTTTCAATTAGTTGTTCAATTCTCGCTATTGAATTAGTAGTTTTCTACTAATTCAAATTTAGCTTTAACTTGTTCTACATATAATACATTTAAAACATAAATACAAATATACACGAACGAAATATTCATCAACTATTAAATTATAATTACTTATTAAAAATAGAAACACTGTAAAAACAGAACACAATTTTAAAAAATGTACATTATGGAAAACAATATTATTCTCTTGTAATTTGTTTATGTAAAACCACGTGCTAATTGAAAGACGTATAGACAAGCAACAGTAGCGCCGCGCCGTTGTCTACAATGATGGTCTGTGCTCGGCTGAACAGTACACGGCGTAAAAAAATTCAAAATCTCCGGTTATAATTGGAAATACAAAATTTTTTTCAGGAATGTAAAGACAATAGTCTAAAGTATGTTACATATAAATTTCATTCTAATCCTTGCTATAGAAAGTATAAAAAATACAAATTGTTTATAAAATTGTTATTAAAAATTTTCGAAAATTTTGTTTCACAATCAATTTTATTTTAAAAAGTGGATATTCATTGGCCACCAAAAAAATTGCCAATAATTTTTATCACACAAATTTTAAGTTATTAATTTTTTAAAATAATGATGCAAAAATTTGTTATTATAAAAAAAAAGGTTATAAAAATTTTAACTTTTGAAAAACGGTTGAAAGTGTTTTCTTGGTTTGTTGTGAGCTAGAGATTTTCATAATTGTTTTTATTTTTCCAAAAATAGAAAAAAAAATTTACTTACTGTTGTAGTGGTTTGACTCTATTGTATACAATTGTGTATCAGCTAGTTCAGAAAAGTTATGTAAAATTCACTAAATTTATTTTTTCGGTGTTGTTTTAGGATTAGATTGATGACTAAACTTAGGGTACATCTTGAAATAAATGTTTGAGAATTAACACATAACACATAATTTAGGACTAGTTTTGAAATCAGAATTTAGGATTAATACTATTAGCATAAAGTATTTATTATATTTGAGAATTCGATTCAGATTGGTTAAGATTAGAACGAAAATCTATTTTAATGATAAATTTTACAGGATCAGAAATAAATAGCATTATCGTACAATGAGTTTCATTTCGGATTAAAGAAAAAACAAAAACGTCTACAGCATTTTGGTTGCATTCTCTCAATAGAAAACAAATTTTATCATACTTTTGACTCTCGTTTAGTTTGAGAAAAGGCAAACTCGAATTAATCTACACAACATAATAGAACCAGAGTAATATCGAAAATTCAGGGCCAGCCCTGATATTCAGTGAGTGGTTCAGGTTTAGGTTCAAGACTCGGCGGGGCATACAGTCAGTTTTGCTGTCACAAGCCGCCCTCGGGTCAATGTTGAGCAGCAAATTTCATGCGCTTTTGCTTTTGTCGTTGATTACAAAACCACACCCTCACCACATTCTTTTTGAGATCCAATTTTTCCGCGATTGCCGCAATTTTTTCGCCTGATGGTCGCGGTTGTACGGCAAAATATGCCTCAAGTGACCTTTTCTCCGGTGCGGCGATACTTGTTCTTTTACGTTTTTTCTCACCGGCCGGCAACACTGATGGCGCATCTGGATCACGTCGTTTATTTTTCGCCTGTGCCTCCGCCTCCTCGAGCCACGCTTGAAGAATTGGTTTCAGTGCAATCATATTGTTGTGTGATAATGTCAATGATTCAAAACGACATATCGTCGATTGTGAAAGTGCTCCAACACCGGGAAGTTTTAAATTTGCCAATGCCTTGCCAACGTCGGCTTGCGTTACACCAAGTTTAATGCGTCTTTGCTTAAACCTCTCGGCAAATGCCTCAAGTTCACGGGGATCAGTGTCGGCGTCAGGATGTAGTCCAGCGGCAGCTGCAGCAGCGGCGGCCGCCGCCATTGCTGGATGATGATGAGGATGAGGTACACTGCCACTGATATTACTGTGATGATGATGATGACTCATCATTCCATTCATGCCACCATAAACAGAGGGCCCATGAATACCGGCATGATGTCCAGGTCCACCACCTCCGCCACCACCACCCGAACTATCCGACATTGGTGTCAACGTCGTCATTGAATTAGCCGGATCCAACATGTCCAAGCTCTCCATTCCCGGATGGCTCATCTGCAATATACAACCCACGTACTTTTAATTCGCGCGATTGCCCGAATAATTCTTTGGTGTTGCGGTGTGAAACTCTCGTCTGCCTCGTAAAGCTTTCATTTTTATAAATAACAATTAAAAACAATTTCAATTCATATGCAATCAAAATAATTAGTTAAAATTTTCATTTTAAAGAATTTTATTAAATATAATTATTTTTTAAACTAATTTTCATTTTTCGAATTAACATTTAACAGAATTTCTTTTTAAACGAATTTAAATTTTTACTCAACAGATTATTTAGCTACGAAATTTTTGTTTAATAGAATTTTCATTTTACTTTTTACTCTTTATCCAACTTTTTATTTAAAAAATGTAACTTATACCGAATAGTACCAAAATAATACCAAATACCAATAAGAATTTTTACCAAAATTTTCAATTCACCGAATCTTCATGTTCCACGAAACTTCAAATGGCAATATAATTATACAGAAAGATGTCGGCGCAAATTTTAAAATTAACTAATCACAATTATCTTGATAATTTCTGATTGGTTAATTTTTAAATTCGTGCCAAAATCTTTCTATCGATTGTTTGTCAGTCATTTGCAATTTCAGAGAAATAAAAATTCGGCCATTTAAAAATTTGAATCATATATAAAATTCTGTTTAATGAGAATTCTGCTAAATTAATATTCGGTATACATTAAAATTTTTTAAATAAAAAGTTGGATACAGAGAAATTCTGTTCAATAAAAATTCAGTTAAATAAGAACTCGGTACTTAAAAATTTTGTTAAGTAAAAATTCGTTTAAAAAGAACACTGTAAAAAGAAAGGTATTAATTAAATACTGACTTCAGGTACTAAATTGTTATTTGGTTCTATTTTGATACTTAAAATCGGTACCGTTTTAGTACTTTTCGGTACTATTTTAGTACTTTCTTATAACAGTGAAATTTTGGCAAAATGTTAATTTGAAAAATGATAATTCATCTAAAAAATGATTATATCTAATAAAATTCTCTAATCAAATTTTGGTAGTTCATCCAGTATTTAATTTTATTTAATAAAACTCAGATTATAAGCTGATTTATATAAAAAATAAATCAATTTATTATTCAGAATTATCTGAGTTTTATTAAATAAAATTCTTTAAAATAAAAATTTTAACTAATGATTTTTATGGGAAAATAATGCAAACTCTAGTATCTATTAAAAAGAGTATTAATCGTCAGTTCTATAAAAGAATATTTCTAACACTCCATCATTTAGACACTGGATAATTTTGACACCTAATAAAAATTCTGTTCAATGAAAATTCCACATAATCAAAAATTGGGTTAAAAAAATTATGTTAAAAAAAATTGTGTTAAATATAAATTTAGTTTAATAGATATTTGATTATTATTTTGCATTCGTTTCAATATAAATCCTTAACTTTCATTAATAACATTAAATAGTAATTAGACCTTAAAAATTTTGAATTGCTTTTTAAGGAATATTCATTTCATAATGCATTCTGTAATTTTTGATACAAAAATTTTATAAATCTTTTTACAAACATATTAATGGAACTATAATAAATATATTTATTTCCATTAAAAAAAAAAATTCTGCAAAATAAATACAGTATATAATAAAAAGTATTAAATTAAAAAATAATAATCTTCACAAATAGACGAGAGTTCCAACCTGACAAAAAAGAAATATTGATGTGTAAAGAAACAAGGAAAAGAAAAGGATAATTTCAGATATTTAATTATTAAAAAGGAATCATCACTCCATTTTTTTTATAAATTATTAATATCAAAACGCTAAATAAATATAAAAAGAGATTGAGAACTTTTTATATGGAGCCATAAAAAATTTTCCAAACGACTTTCATTTGTTTTACGAATTTTTGAAATTTTATGCTTTTCTACTATATATATATATATATATCTACTTATATTTACGTAATTCATATAATATAAGTCATCTTTCAGGTATAAATAACAATTCTCGGATTTGTTTCATTCTCCCCAGGAAAGAACCAAGTTTAATAACTGAATTGCTCTTTCTCATCCACTTTATAACCGAGGGAATCCAAACTACCCTCTCTCTCTGCATAGGAGAGCCACACTGGCACGCGCCTCTCTCTATATAAAAGAGGGTAAGTTTCGGTTTACGTTCGTTCAAATGGAATCATGTTATTTTATAAGATTAAGCCCAGCATGGACCAGAGAGTATACGCTCGATTAAATTCGAATAATTATTTAAGTACCCTTCATTGCTCGTTGAACAGTGATCGTTAATGAGAAGCAAATTGGTTTAAATCTCAAAAAAAAAACCTACATATTGTTTCCGGTTTATTATTGTTTATATAATAGCCATAAAATTAATTAAAAAATTCCCAAAATTTGAAAAAATAATAAACGTACATAAAAAAAATTTTTGCTGCAATTGTTTTTGTATACAAAATTTAAATCATTGAAAAAAATTCAATCAATATAGTATTTTTTCACCAGAAACATAAAAAATAATTAATACAAAAGCAGTTATATAAAATTTATATTACATTTAAAAATTTTTATATCTAAAATGCTTTTGTGATTAAATAATAATTTTTATACTTTTGGGCGGAAATGTGAAAATATGTTTATATATACATGACATATAGGAATGACAAAATACAAGCTGGACAAATATAGTTGCATAAAGTACAGGTGTGCTTGACTACTATGTGCATAATTATGCAACACGTGCCGTGAGCATCGTCACCAGTATGAACAACTGCCGAGAGCGACCTCTTACAAATTATTTATGAGTCGCTCCCGCATTTTTTTTCATGACATCAGAGGAATTTGTCGTATGTGATGCGCGCAACATATATCAACTAGTATGTGTGTGTGTGTGTGTGTGTGTTTATTTCAAATACTAATGAACAAATATTATTTGTAAATTCTATAGTTTTAAACGTTGAATGAACTCATCTGACTGGAATAAATAAGAAATCAAACAGTAAATTATTCATGTTTTATCGACATTATTAAATTTTCATATATATAAGAAAATATATTTGTAGTTCACTAAAATATATTACGAAGACAATCAACAAGATGTCTAGATTTTTATTTTTAATTATTATGTATAAAGCTTTACACTTCGTTAATAGTTGAATGAACTCTGATTACGAATTTATATATGAATGATTCTCCAGAAACTGATAATTTTCGAGGGACAAAATTTTTAAGTACCTAATTGAAAATTTGATTTTTTTTTTAAATAAATTTTTACCCGGAAAAAAATTTAAAGTAACTTTTACTACTTGCAAAGTAAAATCTAAACTGTCCGAAACTTTTAAGTAAAAGTTACTTTATTTTTATCATACATTTATATATTTTTTCATATTTATTGATTATTATTAGTATGTTATACTTGATCTGATCACGCTACAAAAATTATTTTAAAAGCAGAATAAAAATTTTTACTGATAAAATATTGTCAGCCCTTTCAAAAAAAAAGGGGAACTAACCTCAATTAGTGATCTAGACACGTATGAATGAAATAAAAATATATTTGTCTCAGAGCCTAATAAAATAAAACCTACAAAAATGTCATGTTTGTTATTAATATTTTAAGGAAATTTAAAAAGAACGGGCGATGGTTTTTTTTTGCTTCGCGCACTTGCTTTATAAAAATGTCTAATGGTAGCAACAATCTACATTCGAAATATGAAAAAAAATCCATTCCTACATAATTTAAAGAATAGTAAAAAAAAATACTTGTCAGTAATTTTTATCGTAACTATCTTTCAGTTTTTATGGGTTTTTGTCTGTTCCTCATATTAAAATACTAAAAATTATCACGTGCAACGGCATCTGATTTAATATAAAAATTCGCAGTGTTTTTCTTTCTTATTTACTTGATAATGACATAAATATATTATTTTTTCTATTTTCTATTTTGAATTCGAGAAGTCAGATATATATTTTTTCTTTTTAATTTCCTGATAAGTTGAAGATAAAAAGTGCATACTCTTTATAGTTTTTCAATAACAGTTTATCAGATGCCGTGACCTCATAGAGAATTTTCAGGACGGAATCCGTCCTGAGGATATTTATATTTCAATATAATTATTATTATTATGTATATTGATCTAATTAAAAAGTCCGACGATAAGAAATTGAACATTTCGAGTTAAACTATATAGGAATAATATAAATATGATAAGATTTATCATTAATCCAAGTTAGATTACAAATAAATAAAAAACTTAAATCTTTTTAACGTTTTGATAGTTCAAACATTTATATCAGTAATTAATTTATTTAAATTTAAAATTGCACAAATAAATAATTTTTTAAAATGAATTTTTAACATAAAAAATAATATTAAATAAATACCGTGAAAATTTTTTAGATGATATAATACAATGACATGAAAATGACCACATTTTGGAGAATCGCGCACATAGGCAAAAAAAAAAAAAAAAAAGAAGTTGAATTTCAACTCCCTAGGGGATGCTATAAAAGTCCCACCTTGTTGGAGTTAAAGCGAAGAGAGTTAATGCTTTACGAGTTAATTTTATGCCTAGGGAGTTAGTTTTAAAGAGTTAATTTAATTAAAGGATGAAAATTGAGTTAAACGATCACTCCGAGTCAAGTTTTAAAAAAATAAAACAATTTTTTTTATTTTTTTATAAAACTTGACTCGGAGTGATCGTTTTACTCAATTTTCATCCTTTAACTAAGACAACCGTGTGATAAATTCAATTATTTATAGTTAATTTAATTGTTAACTCCCTTTTTGAGTTGATTTTAAACTCGAAATATTTAACTCTCAACTCCCGGTGTCGTTAACTCCCTAATTTTTTTACAGTGTATAATAATAACCATTAAAATTTCTAAATATTTAAGAAATAAATAAATAAATGAAAAATAAATGCGAATTTTGAAAAATTTCGAACTTGACAATTCCAATTATTTTTGAAACAAGCCCATATGTCATTATACCGAGTTACCTAACGATATCAATAG